CACTTACTGAAGAAGCTTTCGCTGCAAGCCATCCTACCTCTGCTGAGCATTTCATTTTCCAGAGATCCTAACTTGGCACCTCCCAGCAACCTACATTTACTCTGAAAGAGAGATAAAATTCTCAGAAGAAGGAAGAGAACACTACCCCCTCCCTGAACAAAAGCATCAATGTCCTTCCTTGACCTGGGAGAGACCCAAAAGCCTTCGTATGTACCCACACGTTCTCATGCTCGCGGATGGCACCTAAATCACGTTCTGAGCTGACTGCATCTCCGTCATGCCATGCACCCAGGTAACCACGCTCAAATACAGCTCCTGAAACTATCCCAATGCTTAGCCTTTGCTTGAGCAATAAACAAAAACCCAGGCAGTTTTGGCACTAAATACTATTCTAAGCAAAGCTGAAGTTTCCCATTTCACTTCAGTGGCTGGACAACTTATTGGCTTGTTTAGGTTTGTTTAGGTGGTGACTTCTTTCCCACTGCGCCCAAAACACAAAATGAGGAACAACAGAACATTATTTCTGCTACTTTGCTTTGGCATGATTACTGTTCATTCCATATATCAAAGGGGCTTATATTAAAGTTTTCAACTGTCCAAAGAAGGATCATCTGCTGCATCAAGTCTGCAAAAAAAGTCGTACTCCCTTTTTCTAAGCAAGTGAATGTTCGCTGAAGCTAACTAGCATTATATTAAACTGTACGAACACTACGAACTGTAGTGACCACGGCACCTTTTCTCCCCAGTTTGTATTCTGCAAACATAGTCATCTCTAACCATAGTAGAAAAATAAGCTAACACTTATTTTGCAACATGATCCATTTCCATAACGAAAAATCATTGCTATTTTTTGATCTGTAATAGATTTAATAAAATAGCACCTTCTTCAGTAAATGAAATATGCCAGTAGGTAAATAACCACTTGAGTTACTCTTTCTGCCCATGTACTCTGCACAACATCCTCACATTTTGTATATTTGCCCCTCTGCCTTCAACTGGATGTCCTGATTCCCCCAGACAGCTCAGGTAGCTCCTGAAGACTTAAGAAGTTATAATGTCCTGGCTTACTGAAAAGGTTGTTTACAGCAGTGCCTTCATTGTTAAGAAATCTGTCTCTTGATTCTTCAGCAGGGCGCAATTATTGACATCAAGGTCTGGCTCTCCCCTCTAGGGCAAAGGCTTCATACTGGAGCTCCCACCTGGACCTAGAACGTGCTCAGTGACAGAGCCGGGCATTGGCACTGCAAGATATGTGTCTCAAGAATGAAGAATATAAACAGCTGCTAGCATAAAGTAACACAGCCTCGCATAGCTGCCATGAAACTCTGTCATCTCAAGGGCAAAATCTGATGTATTGCAATGAGCATAACGATAAAAATATAAAGGCATGCATCTTGTTCCATCCCCTAAAAAAGGGTGTTGGCCAAGGCAAAGAGAATTTTGCACGTTGCCAATAGCGACTTTCATGTTTACAGAGTACACTATGCATGATCATCATGTACAGCAGAAAAATGACGTATTTCCCACGGCTCGATACCGTGCATTCACCAGTAGGTAGGTGTCTGCAGAGCTCCTGTACCCTACTGGGCCAGATCCTTAGCTGGGCAAACTGGCAAAACGCTGCTGTATGTGTGGAAAGTGGGAGATTTATAATAGCTGAAGAGCGGCACAATGATTTCTCAAAGTAAGAAGTGTTACCTATTTCTATTAATATAGGAAGGAATAATTTACATATAGATACACACACACGCATAGATGCCAACAGTGACGTCTTAAACATGTAACGTACATACAACTCATGTCACATACAGCTGTCTCTGAATGACTGCTCAATGTTGAAATATACAGTGCAAAAATAGGAATGTATTATTATATTTCAAAATAGCGAGACTTCCCCCCCACCTCTTCCCCATCCAAGTTCATTTCAACAGGATTCACTACCTCAGCCAGGAGCTCTAGGTCTGGTTGACTCTGAAAGTCTTTATAAGCCTCATACCTGAACCCTTGCGTAGCTTGACAGATATTGAGAGCGTGCTGCCTCCTTTCCTGAATGCTCCTTAGTTTCAGACATAACATCAGCACTTCGGTGATGGTGGGACTTCTGATCATGGTGGCCATCCCTTTTCCTGCCTTCTGTGGCAAACAAGACGTGGGTTAGCCTGTCCAGATGCTTCTCCAGCTCTTCCTGGGTGTGCTCCAGTTGTTTGCCGACATTACTGGGGAAAAGGGAAGAGGATGGTGGGGGGCTTTTGCTTTCCCTCTCCTTCTTGGCCTCTTCCACATGCGGGTTATGCCTCATTAGAAGAAGCACCATGATAAGCAAGATCAGGCAGAGATACACAACCCAGACTTCTTCCATCTTGGTGGTGAGACACCAAGGAGCTAGTAGTGCCTGTTGTTGTACTCAAAGGGAAGACAGATGGGCCAAATACAGTAGGTGGTCAGCGCTTCCCAGCTGTCAGCATCCACAGGAAGGACTGTTGCCAGTAATCAAAGCACTGTGGTAGCTGATGTCAAAGTTCAATCTTCTAAAGCAGTGTGGCTTACAAACCTTCCTGCAGTTCTATATATGAAAGCAGCACAAACGGTGAGCAGCAAAAAATTTTGAAAAGAAAATAAAACAACTTTGTCCTTAGAGTAAAATAACTTCAGCAGAAAGATACAAGATCATCTGTCACAGCTCCATATGATCTTAAAATAGCAGTATTTCTCCTTTTTTTGTTAAGGAACTGCAGGTTCAGTGCTTATTACTCTTCAAATAACTTTCCTTCTGTTACAGTGTTCAAATTGTTGTCTTGCTTGAAGTGGTAAGCTTTTCTTCTTTCTAATTCAAAGAAAAGATAAGTGAGGATTGGGGTTTTCCTCCCCAAAGGAAGATAATAGAGTATTTTATCCTTTATCTACCCTCAGCACTCTTCGAAAAAATTTAAGTGGCAGAAGGGAATATTAGTCACCCAAGTTACAGATTCAGTAGGACTAATTTGTTGGCTTCCTTCTGTCTTTGCTGGTCTTGGGAGAGGGAGTCCTCGTAGAAGTGGCTGCTGGGACTCAGGAGATAATTTCAGCTGAACTCTGCGGGGATCCCTTGGAGATCCTTTGTAGGCTGTTCCTCAGTGACTCTGCCCCCCCCGATTACTCAAAGCAGAAGATGGGCAGCCCAGGGACCAATAAATGCATTTCCACTGACCAAACCCAAGGGAAGGGATTGGAAGAACTTACCAATTAGTGACTGGCATCCAGATTAACAGCCAAAATGTAAGCAGGGACGAGCAGCCACCAGGACAGGGCCAGTCTGCAAGGGGGGAGGCTGGCCATTGGCTGCTCTCTCCCCCCCCAGAGGCAGAGTCTGTCTGGAATGGGATTGCGTTTCCTAACCTTTGCTAGGGGGATCTTTTTACAGATGAGCGTGCCAAGCCTAAAAGAAGCAGAGATCACACCCAGATTTCTGCTGCCTCTGTGTGGAAACATTCTTGCGCTCACCCTGCCACAGAAACAACTCTAAAATTCTTCACTTTGTTCCCCAAAGTGAGACCTTTCCTCTGCTTTGCTACAGTGAATGGTCTGAGAAATATTATAGCGTTCCTTCATCCCGGTACTCACTTTAGAAGTTGATCCTCAGCTTTTACTTTTTCAAGACCAATGCTATTAAGCAAGTTCTGCTCTAGAAGCACTGTTGTACTTCGCACTCCCTTTTTGCCTTGTCTTTAACTCATTCCTGAGGTCACAACCACCCTGGAAGATCTTGTAAGCAGTTTGCTGCCTACAAGCCTGGGCCTGGCACTGCTGCAATACATTTAAGTGGGCAGTCACCAAAGAGAAATGGTACTGCAAATTCAGTCACCCCTTCTGCACCCATCTCAAATGCACGGCGTGAACCTGAGGAGAGGATGCAGAAAGAGACAGACAGGTCAGAACTGAGCTCAATTTCCTACCAAAACTGATCTACATTTCCTTAATGCAAGAACACTGGAACAGGGAACTCCAAGCAGATGAGAACATCTCCTTTCTCCCCCACCGGTGTACATCATTAATGCCTTAGGGCACGGACCATGCCTCCAGCCACATGTATTACAGTAACTAGTAGAGCAAAGCCCTGACCCAAACCTCACACTGCTGTAACAAGAGATGTCACCAAAACCCTAAACAGCATTGAAATGCTAAAAGGAGAAAACATCATTTTTAAAAAAAATGTCATTAGGACTGCATTGTGGCTCCTATAAAGGGGAACAGACTGATAGAGCAGCAACAGCACTTCCTAACTTCTAATAACATGGCTTGTTTCCTTTCGAACAAATGATAATGCAGCAGAGATGCTTCAAACATTACAAAACTTAAGAGTGAAGTAAAGATTGCTGTAATTTCAGATGCAAAATACTATAGAGTAGCCTCTTCAAAACACAATCTTTAATGAAATAACTTGGGCACGTCTGCCAAAAACGCACCTTGACTGTGAAAACAGGGAGCTGACACAGAAAGGCAAAATGCCTTGTCCAAGATCACACAGTGACTTGCGGAAGTGACCCAGCCGACTCCGGCCTTGCACTCAAGTCCACAGGTCAGGGACGACACTCAGGGCTATGAAGTACTGCATTGATGAACGTTTGCCTTCTGAGTCCTCCAATAATGAAGCACCGCGAAAGGAACATGGGTTGGCTTTGCGAGTCAGCATTGTGTGAAGACCTCTGTCAAACCACAGGAGCCGCTCACGTATTAGAATGCATTTTTCTCTGCCCTCTTTGGAGATAAGCTGGCTGGATTAGGTTACACCAAATGTCCATCTCACTGGTATCTTTATTCTAATTGTGAATGCCTAACGAATAGTATAAGCACGAGACAATTATGTAAGAATGCTTCCCAAAATACTCCTGCAGCCTTCCACAGCACAGGATTTTATAATGTTTTAGCAACTCTACCTTCACCTGAAACAAGACAAGGAAAAAAATAACTATTTCCCAGACACACACTGCATAAACAGCTAGGAAAGAGAACAGCTGTAGTTCCAAGGTCATGTACAAGATGCTCTTTAATCTTGGTAAATGGCATGAAAACACTATAAGTTTAACAAGACACGGCTTTTGTATGTTTAATATAAAATCCTGGAAATCCAAAAAATGCTGTATAGTGCTGCTCCATACAGTCAAAGTAACATCAGTGCTCCTCGGCAAGTAAAATAATAATCTGCTAACCTATTGATTCCAGTGTTAACCTATTGGTTTCCAGAAGACTTAAAGTCTTCTCTGCGTATTTCTCTTCATGAGATATGTTACCCAGGTCTGGTTTCTCCTTATGCCTAGACAGGCATTCTTTAAAATATTTAAACAAACAAACAAATTCTCGTAGATGCAAGTGACTGCATCAGAGCTTAGTAATAAAGTAAGTTTTTTTTGTAGCCAACATCAGGTTTTTTGAAGTCTTTCCCAGCAAATGTTTTCCACCATCTCTCAGCTGCTCTCAGTATACCCTGGAATCTGCCTACACTCCCATTTCTCGCTTCTCATACAGGATGACTGATTGGACTATAAAAAGGAAGGAAAGCACTGCACCCTAGGGACACCTGCTACCATGTTTCCTTTTAAAGGACTTCTGTTCCTTCAGCTTTTTTAGGCTGAGTGGGGAAGATTCTCTGCAGGAACATAGGAAGTGGGTACAGTGGCTGAAGCAGTATCAAAACACTGGAGACACATTCAACTGTTCAGAAAGCAAAAATTTAATACAAATCAAATGCAAGAGAATCTTTGGGCTCTCACAGTTCATTTTACCACCACCCACGGTTTGGCATGCAGCTGATTTATCCTCTGAGTCACTGGTGGCTGTAACCGGGCTACTTATAAAACAAACTTCTTTTTTTAAGAACTGATTGTGCATCCTTCCTAGCAGGCCAGAACCTGGCTTCAGCAACAAAAGTCTTACCCTGTCTGGAAACAACTGTCCTTACATCCCTAGGCTAGATTAAATCAGCATTTGCAGTTCTCTTCTAAGTCTATACCTGTCAATTAGAGAGATGAATGAGTAAAGATGATTCTCACTTATTTTCCTCCAAGATCCTGAACTCATACTCTCTAGATGGCAGTGATTACACACAGTGGTCAGTGCTTTCTGGATACCAGAAGTTGCATTCACACAGACTCATATGGAGTGGAAGCATTCAACTATCCAGTATGCTTACACTGCTGGATCTTCACAGAAGCTGGATCTTCGTTACAAACCATTCCCTTCTGTATGCATCGCTGCCTCATCTGCTATAAAAGGTCTGCTCTACTTAAAAGCAATAGGAGAATGGGAAAATCTCCCAGTATAAAAGACAGATTCTTAAGTTAATGTCAATTCTATAGGAAGAAAAACAGATCCTTCCAGACTCTGCGCTGATCTTTCACAAAGGTGCCTTTCTACAGCGTGAGGACAGACTATGTAGACTGAGTCTTGGGGTCGTATGCGTAGTAGGCAGATCTGTTTTAAACCTTTCTTTAGGAAATACACAGAGATCATTGCGTAACATTTTCTGCTGCACAGCATCTTTCCACTGTTCTTAAGTTTATAGAAGAATTGGCACAGTTTTTAGCCGCAGTTTTAGTCTAAAAGACTTTCCTACAAGAAATTAAAGCGAAACTCTTCTTGGGAAGTTGTGAATTTGAATGAGCCTGTGTTAAGTGTCCTGGGTGACTCTGAAGGGGATCCTGCTGGAACTTGGCTTTTCCTGCAAGCTCCTGAGCACTTCCGGATGAACTGGCAGTTCTTGTTGCGGATGTTTCTCTTCACTTCCACGACCCTGGCAGATTTCACAGCTTAAAGAGGGGAGAAAAGAGCAGTAAGAGATGTTTAGTCATCTCATATAGTGAGGTCCCACTCCGCAAAGCAATACAGAGGGCAGGAGCAAAGCCCTTTCCTCTTCACTTCCCCCAGCATGCAAAGTTCTCCTACCCGTTTCCATGAGCTTCAGTTCTTTGCACCGCTCCTCCTCCATTTTCTTCCTATAGTCACCAAACATGGCTCTCATGAGCTGACGCTTCTTCACCAGTGGAGCCTTGTCATTGCGCAGTGTCTTGATCGCACGGAGAGCCTCCTCGACTGAAGCAGCGCAAAGGAGAAACAACGCACGGTTTGACTTCCCACTGGCTCTGCCCCCACACGCCTGCCAACCCTCCCCACAGGGGAGATCTCTCGTTTACTTGAATGCTTACCCTGCTTTGGAGTGGATTTCTGCGTCTTCAGGCCAAGTTCCAGCTGTTCCACACACCAGTCCACCTCTTTCCACAGCTGGTCATCTGACTGCTGTGCAACATGGAGCAGAGTGAGCATGAGGAAATAAGTCATCCAAAAATTACAGCAGCAGTTGCTACACAGGAAAAAAGGTATCTGCATAAAGTCAAGACTATTCCAAATTTCATGTTCTGGTGATCACTTTATAGACTTCATGACATTTTCCCTATAGTGCTTTTCATTGGACAAACTTAAAGCACCGGACAAATGCTTAGTTGCAACTCACTGCCTCTGTGTGATGGATTTAATATTTGGCTGCCATTCAGATGATGCCATTTTCTGGAAAGCTGTCCAGGGCCTTTCCTCTGAAAGAAGCTGTCAAATCAACTGACAGATGGGAGGAATAAGCATTAACAACAACAAAAAAAACCCCTACCCCCCAAACCTGCCCGAAATCAAAAAGCAAACGATGGACAAAATCAGAAGCCAAGTCTTGGTGTCTCAGGTCCTGTGTGCTTGCTCAACCAGAAATGCATGAGGAGAAGGGAGCTGAAGCCCATGAAGACGGAAGAAGCCAAGTCCCTTTGAGCAAAACCAGCTGGCTGGCTGAGCAGTGGAAGGGAGAGAAACAGGGCAGCATTCTGGGGCTGAAGCAGTTCTTAACTGTTATGTACATGTAAACACAAAGCTCTCATGCTGTCTCCTTTTCCTTACAACAGCCTCCTTCCAATGGACTGGAAGGGCTTTACATCACCTTCAAATCTTTCTACCTTTCTGGTACACAGCAGCGTTTATTGATAAGGTTGTTGGTGAAGCAGCACTTTGGATGCAATGCTTCAAGAGGCAGGTGAACACTCAGTGCGACTTCAGTGTAGAATATTAACGAAAGCAAGTTTTTTGTAATTTTGTATTTCAATATTGCTCAGCTGGCATTGCTTGTTAATAATAGCTACACAAGTGCTGAAAAGAAAAATAAAATTAAGACCTGGACCTTAGCAGAACATTAGAAAACCTCAGGGTGTGCCTACACATAACTCGCAACTTCCGTCGATTTCTGGGCCATGCCTTACAGTGGGAACCTTCTCAGAAGCACCCTTAGGCTTTGCACCAGACCCTGCCACAGCCTTGGCAACACCACCTAGCAGCTCTGCACCTCAGCCTTGCCCTTTGCATTATGCGAGCAATTCGTCCTACCCGATAACATGCAAGTCAGGGGTACAGTGCTGATTCAGCACACACAGATACCAGCTTGCCACTGAGTGAGGACAGTTACCTCCTTTTTTTTTTTTTTTTTTTTTTTTAAAGAAAACTTGGCACCCAGCTTCCCAGGATTAGCCATCACAAGTCTAAACATGAAATGTTTCAGCACAAGTCTGAAGCAGACAACAAAGGACCATTAACTTCCTTTCCACTAGTTAGGTTCCTCAGCTCTCTAGCAGGAAAAGAAAACAGCTGCTGTAAGAAATAAGCAGCAATCTTTGTCTTTCAGCTTTCATCTCAAGCCAGTATACTAACTGTTAAACTATGCAAAGAGATAAAGTTTCTCTTTTGCTCAAGGGTTTACAAATTATGGCATCCCATCCATATTTAAATACCTGAGAGGTCTCATCCTGGTGGGAGTTATCTTTATTTTGACATCTGTTAGCTTCTGCCTTTGCCTTCCTGTTGATCTCAGTTTCTTCTATCTCCTTTTTACTGACAGATGTTTTTTGTTTCTTCTTCTTTTTCTTCTTCTGGGCAGCTCCATCTGCTGTTGATTTCTCTGTCACTGCCTCATCTCTGGGAGCAGTCTCTGGTTGGGGGTTCTTTAACGTGACATGGCTTCTATCCTCTTTGGGTGCACTACCTGTAGTTTGAGTCAACTCAGGCTTCTGCAACGCCGAAATCCATGGCATACCTGCTGATTCAGTAGGCAGTGAATTACCCAGCACTTCATGATCTGCTGTACCCTCTATATGTTGGCTTCTTGGAACTAATGGAACCAGAGGACAGTCTTCATCTGGGATGGCAAAGTTGAAAGCAAACTTGGGTTCTTGTCCAGAGGCAGCAAAACTCAAGGCTCCATTCCAGTTCTCCTGCTCGGTGGCTCTTACATTGGTTTGTATCTGCTCAGCACCACTGACACCAGGGACTGCTTCCAAAGATGTGCCGGTTGCTTCTGGGTCGATCTCAAAAAGTGTAAAATCAAATCGGAAGCTGTTGTCAGATGACGTGAACCACTCTGGCTTTGCCTCAGAGATTCGGTCAGATTGTTTCCCATACACCACAGCATCTGAAGCCTGCCCATTGCTTTGCTGTACTTCCACATCACCAGGTTTCACATCTAGAAAAGATAAAGAATAATGTTTCTATCAATATGCCAATTTCCTACTACAGGGATGCCACTGCTACTGCAACTCCCTCTCTAAGGCACTGCTGCAGAGAGGTGATCCAATCAAAAGCTACAACGTAAGAAATCTACAGAAAAGAACCAAATATCACCATCCTCTGAAGGGACAGTTCAAGCTCACCTGCTTTCTCCATGCTCTTCTGATCCTCAGCCATCTTGAGACAATAATCCCCAAACACATGGTTCATCACTTGTCGCTTCTTCACAAAAGGAGTCTCATGGGAGCGCAGGACCTTGAGAATGTGCTGTGCATCCTCTGCTGCACTCAAGAAAAAGTCCAAGAGAGACAAGAAACAGGTTATGGTGGGCCTTACAAACCATACTGTGGGATGCTGATGACTGGGTCTCCTCTGAATGTGTTCTGTGTTCATACCACCATACCACAATCCATGACTGGCATTTTGAAAGGAAACTCCAAGAGCTTCTAGAAGCTGAAATACTGTGAAATGTTCTTAAAGAAAAAAAAATACATCTTAACTGCTTATTATACATGTTAAGAATCTTACACTGCAGTAAGTGCACTACTAATGGCACAGAAGCTATACAATGCTTAACAACCCTCTCTCCAAAGCAAGAGACAAATCCAAGAGCCTAGCTTGGTGTCTCTTCTCTGGAAAAAAATCTGAGTAGCGAGCACACTCTGAAAAGCAGGACTCTTGCTTGACTCTCATATAAACCGGCCTGACCACAACAGTAATCCCAATTCTTTGTGTCAGAGTAAATTCTCTAAAAATCATAGTAGTTGTTCTGTGACAGGAGTCGCCAAAGACCTCAGTTCGGGAACTCCAGATATGCATAGTCTTCTAGTGTTTGTCTCACGCGTTTCAAGACACAGAAAAGCCTGATGTACTAGACTAGTATTCTGGAACGGGCACACACTCATCTCTCTTGGCTGCAGTGCATCTCTCTGGGATTCTCCAAATGTGTATCTTGCAGATCCAACACTGAGAGTCCCGTGCTAGGAACAGAGTAACAGCACGCAAGTGCAAGGCAGAAATGCCACAGTGGGGCTGTAGCCACCCAAAAAAAGTGGGATGTATCTTCATAGCACCTGGGTGTCAGGGTCTTGACCACACATTCCCCCCTGCTTCAAGGAGTTTAGCTGGCTGCATTCAAGGCCTACTCGCTAATAAGACCTGTTACAAAGAAAGAGCTAGAAAAAGCTTCAGGGGAACCTCTCCCCTCCCTCACTTGGGAATTATTTTAGCTGAGGATCTCATGCGTAGCACTGCTGCAGCTGGGCCCAGAGAGTTGTGGTGAATGGAGTTAAATCCAGTTGGCGGCCGGTCACGAGCGGTGTTCCCCAGGGCTCAGTTTTGGGGCCGGTCTTGTTCAATATCTTTATCAATGATCTGGACAAGGGGATCGAGTGCACCCTCAGTAAGTTTGCAGACAACACCAAGTTGGGCAGCAGTGTTGATCT